CGACCACTACAACTTCGACGATAAGCTGGTCCATTCAAGAGGAAGCGGCAAGAATCGTTCCAAGGTGGAGGCTGAGCAGAACAAACAGACCGATAACTGCGGTCACACCAGAAAGATCGTCAATAACATGAGAAATAATGAAGCTAACAATAGAGTGACGCAAGCAACGGCGATAAAACATTAACTGACATTAACCAATATTTACGGTAAGTACTACTATATTTTCCATTTAATTTGAACCCTTGTAAACCTCCGTCTACATGTATATATTGCTTAAGATATTTTTGACATTTGGTTGAGGGTTTATGAGAAAAACCTGTGGGGCCTTTTAGCGTTATATTTGAGATAAAACCACAGGGCGTCCGTGAGATCTATTTCCTCGATCGATATACGCTGGATGTCATTAGTAATTTCATCCGTCTTTTTTTACGGTAGTTTTTAATTCATATATAACCCATTCGTATGAAGCTGATGTATTAATTTGTTTGGAAACTTTCTAACTTTTTTCTTTGCTTCGCCATCAATTACACTAGCCAACTAATACAATTCCCATGTAAACAAAGATTCCTATTTAATTTCACATTAATATTTTGATGTTCTTGCTGTCAAAAAATAGATACATATCATAATTCCGATGCTACAGATCTCAACTTTCCATGATATCCACAAAGACCAACCCCGGAAAAGAGATGCGACTATGCACGTCCATTATAGAGAGGTCAGGGTCTCGTCGGAAGCAGCTGTCTGTTGCCATGCGCGAGCGACCCACTGCCTCATAAATAGATATATTGATCTGGTCATCAGTTCATACGTAATACGAGTACTTTAAGTCTAGCATTGTTATAGCGAGATAGAGGAAACGTGTTCATAGCTACACCGGTAGTTGATAAGAGCGCAGTGTAAAGGTGAAGTGAAGGTCACTAAAACGCTGCGCACTTCGTGACAGAACACCTAAAAACTTGATGTAAAATAAATGTATTTTTGGCTGTTGCCTGTATTTTATAATGTTGGTGCTCATTTAGAGATAATAGTATTATGCACTAGCAATAAGCTATTGACAACTATTGATAATTGATTTAATATAAGACGAAGTAATAGTTTACAAGAGTTTACTAGTTTACTAATATTTCCACAATATTTGTATGATGTGAGAAATATAAGTTTAAGATATAGATATTCATTCCCATAATATATAATTTCGAAAAACGTCTAGGATAACGTTTAATTATATAAAAGAGGGAATAAGATAATAGTATTTTTTAGTATTGTAACATATTCTCTTTTCTTCCACAGAATCGTTGACGTCGAACCAAAGCATAGTAGAGAAGACCAACGGAACTGAATCGCCTTTTGGATGTGTGGGACCAGAGTTGCTGCAATGTCTGCAAGGCAAGGTTGACAAAGCAATGGACTCCAGCCCAACTGGAAGCCGACGAGCAAACATGTTCCATGGATGTATTCACACTCATGCGGAGTTGACAAAACTTCGCCAAACTTCCATTGTTCATCGCATGTCACCATCAAGCGACAAATGCAGTGTCCCTTTGTTACAATTACATTGTTAAATCGGCAAGGATTGAGGTTCCCAACACAGGATGCTCTCATGCTGTGTACGGGGCCCAGTCTTCCCGTGGGACATTATGCTTCGTGCGGGGACCTTGTCGGGAATGACCTTTTCTCATTTCATTAATTATTATTTATCTTTGCCTGGGGTTAGCTTTCACAGGAGTTTTACCATTTCTTATGTTCAATTCGTATTTTCTATTTATGGTAGTCAGTTGCGGGACTTTTCGAGTCAAGCATGTTGTTCTTCTCAAGTGGTACAAATATACTAAGGCATATCTGGTAACCTTTAATAAGTGCCCATGTTGTGATAATAAAAGATAATTTTTTTATGCCATGTTTATCATTTGCCTAGCTACTGTCCTTGATAAGTTCTGTGTTTGGCCATGAATGGAAGGTGAATAACTAGGAAATAAGTAATAGGGACGAGTTATATATGTTACTACACTTGCACATCAGAACACTTTAGTTTGCTCTTTGCTCTTTATCATCCCCAAAAAACTTGTTCTGAGTTTGGTGGTTTTGGAAATATTCATTCCGGGTTAGACTGCTTCTTGAATAACTAATTTTTCACTTGGGCTAGATCAGTTGTCTTATAAATTTCAGATATCAGAACTATTATTTGCATAGTTACGAATTTACAAACTTTACCAAGTATCTCCCAAGACGGGGAAGGGAGGGGGGGAACCCTACACTGCTGAAAGTGCTGAAATCAATTAATTGTTCATGCAATATCTTGCCGGTTAGTCGAGGTTTTCACGGGAGGAAAAAAGCATCACAAGTGCAAGTATATAATAAATACTTGACAGAAAAATTATCACGTGATATTGAAATAGATCGTACGTAAGTAGTATCTGAATGGAAGACGCATATTACTCGTACATTTTTATCTCGAATCTAAACACAGGATCCTCTCAGTTCCTAGAAACTCAAGATT